TGTTGTGACATACTCTATAGAAAGGCCGGTAATGATGCCACGTTCTTGTTTAATTGTGTATCGTAAAATGTAACCCTTGATATTCTTTGCTTCGACTGAGCGACTATCATCTATGTTATAAAAATGATTCATAGATGGTCTACATCTCCAATTCTTCGTATCTTGGGAGACCAAACTAGCCTCTAACAGGCTTCAGAAGCGGTTGGAAAGAGTCAGAAATTGACTAAATAGACAGATAAAATGCCATGGGAGTTGGAGCACACTAGAGTTTGCCGCTTCCGAGAGCTTCCTTTAGTGGACCAACTCCTGTTAAGCAAATTTCTACTCTTTCCTGTCGCTTCCGAAACCTGATAGAGGCTAAAAAGGCCATGCCAAACCCTCGAAACACATATTATTATTGGCTATTAGCTTTCAGGTCCAGAAGCTACACTATGCTCTTTGTTCGCAGCAAAACTCGAAAATTTAGCGCTCCGCCAAAACATGGCCGTATCGCACGATCAAACAGTAGAAACAAATGTCAGCGTGTCCGACTCAAATTTGTTCCTTACACGATTTTTTTTTCTGGGAGCTGCTCCCAGCGTGTCGATCTGAGGCGAAGATAAGAACGACAGCGGAGGAAACAACAGCTGCTAGTACCGCGCTCACATGTCACGCGATCTCACCAACAAAATGGCCGCTCATTTCAACACCCAGAATTCACAAGGTCAAGTCCGATCCGTTTAATTCCCTGTCAGCCGGAGATCAAACGATACTTGGGTGAATTATTTTGGCGGGAAATTCTGACAGAGAGTGACCTTTGTACACGGTTGGTGGATTCGTGACTCGGTCTCATTCATGCAGTTACAGAAACGGAAAACTATTTTTGGTGGAATTCCCACAGTACTGCACACATGCCTTGTTGACGTGAGGACTGTTTTATTGTCTCAAGGGAAAATTGTGTTTGACATATTTTGACAACAATCACGTTGACTGACGTTCTTTCCAAGGGCCGCGTTCTTAATGCAAAAATCAAAACGGTTTGATTCGTTTTTGTCACAATACGATTTTCAAAGTCAATTTTCTTATCATTCTTGCTTTTATTATAGTTAAGTTGAATCAAACCTATCCTACGGATGTATGTGAGGCAAAAATACGATGTCACTAAAGGAATACAGTTAAGAATACCCAAAAATGAGTAGACGCCTCATGTAGCTTGTTTTCGGGCTATTTCAAACACTTCAAGTGTGAAATGATGACGAAGACGTGCTATTAGTATTAAAGAAATGGCAGTAAATGTCAACATCACACAGATGTCCGTATCCATTTTATTTGTTGCCATGAAATTGCATTGGTTGGCTTTGAATGTTCCCACCAGTACAAAAAGTCCCCTCCCTCTGTAAGCAGTTTTGAGCTATGCGACCTCCGATCCCGCTGGCCTAATCACGTCACAAGTCTCGTACAACCACGGGTCACGTGACCACTGAAGACAACCACCTGTTGGACGAGAGTTGAAGTGTTCGTGTCAGTTCGGGGTACTCTCCAAGCAGAGGTTTGGGGTTATTTTTTGGCGTGTTTTCAGGGTTGGGATGGGTGAAAAAAATTCCAGTGCAAAAAAGAAACCCTGATAGATAAAAGCCTAGAAATACGCCAGAAATAACCCAAAACCCAAACCTCTGTTTGGAGAGTAAGTTCTGGAAAATGACGGCCTTTTTTTAAAAAAAAGTACATGTATACTTCTTCGTCCTAGTGTGACAAGTTAACCCAATGCTTCTGAGTCAAGCCATTTCTGATTCTACTTGCAATGAGGTTTTGTTGGCTACTCGCTTTGGCAGTGTTTTTATTGACATTTTGAAGTCCCAGAACAGAACAGGGAACGTTACGACAAATGTGATGATTAAATAGTAAAATTTTGCTAATAATAAATAAGTTAATGTCAACACTGTTAGTCATGTAGCATAATTAACAACAAGGATTAAAACATGAACTACAAAAATTGCGCAACTAATTGAAATGATGTATCAGTACCACAAGATTACGATCATAAACTATTAAATCCATTTACATGTAGGTCATCAAACATATTGCCAACATGTCTTTGGCATACATCCATACATTTGTTTATTTATTCGGGTTTTCACAGTGAAAGGGAAGGCAAAACAGTTGCATATACTCCTTTACAGGCCTAGGTTGCCCTCCCACGTCCCACACACAAAAACACAACAACAGAACTTTGTATGTTGTACTTCTTGCTCTGTTTTTTTTTTTTTTTTCGTTTATCCAAGGTTTACTGTCCACCAACTCTTTCCGGTATTGTGGAAGGAAGCAGTGTCCAGCTGACATAAGACCAGAACCTCACACTTTCTCTCAGACTTCACTGTCAAACACACACCTGTATAAATCCTTCCTTCATTTAATACCCAGGACCGTCCAGTCAACGTTATTTTCACTTGTTGAGTGACGTATGACCGTCCCGTCCCTGGTTCGAATTTGTGTTATCTGTACGTGGGTTGGTGAATGTAACACGGTGAAGGGGGGGCCATAAATCGTGGGGGTCCTGTCTGGACGGTGACACCGGTCTTGTTGGACGGCCACAGATGGGGAGGTCATCAGCGTACAGGGGTCAAGGCGGCCATTTTGATAAAGTTTGTAAGACTGGATCGAATGATATTCCAGAGTTTAAGAAAATACGACGAACAATAAAATATTATGTTAGGTTAGGATGATACAAAAAGTCGATTTTCTGTTCATTTCTTTACAAAGTAAGTTGAATCAACCCTACTCCACATGGCAAATAAGTCCCAAACAGAAAGTGAAGGTACCAAAATATGACGCCTTACGAGTGTGTTTAAAAGCTGGAAACACAGCTGTCAGCCATGTTTGTTTACATTCTGAATGTTTGTGGTGGTACCACAAACTGAGTGCGCCTCGGTTGGGCTGTTTTAGCACCAATCATAAATGTCAGAAATATGAAATAATTGCACAAGTATGTTAAATGTAGAAGTTTTTTTCAATTCAGATATTTCATTTTTTTGTCCAAAAATGTTACATAATTAATGCCCCTTTAACAAAAACAGGTTATGTATGTTGTAGAATGTACTAAACGCATTTTGCAACAGGAGTTTCCATGTGTGGATGTTCGCCTTGTCGGGCACGGCAAAAGTAAAGGCAGACGGGGTGGGGGTGTATCAAAATGTTGGCGTAGCTATTCGGGTCAATGGTTTTCCCAGATGTCATGTTAGAAGTGCAGTTCTTCCAACTTCGGCGCATATATACCATTTGGTAAGACGTAGTCCGGAGTTTTCAGCTTTTAAACAGACTCGTAAGGCGTCATATTTCTGCATTTCCACTTTCGGAATGACACTTATTTGCACTGGAGTAGGGATGATTTAATGACCAGAAATTTTACTTTTTGTATCATCCTAACGTTACATTATGCAGCTTTAACACTCTTATGTTTTATTGTTTACCGTATTTTCTAAGACTCTAACAAAGTGTTGCTAAATACTGGTTGTATTGATATAGTTTTGAGATACTATAAAAACAAATATCCAGCTTGAATTGTTAATCCGTTGTCCTAAGGTTTCGATATCATTGACAAGTTATGACATAACCGATTCATGTTATCACACTCGAAGGCCACTTGACTCCAGAGTATGTTCACTTCGCCTTGCTGACTTGGTTTAATATAAGGCTTGTCAAAACGCAGGAAACGAGGACTTAATTCGGTGTATCCCCCACAATTCCTCCGTTATCGGGTGGTTAATAAGCCGGGCCGCCGGTGTAACCTCGGTGTAACCTCGGTCTCCTGACTTCCGCCGCCGCGCAGTTAAAAGGCCACAGCAAGTAATTTTTATGGATGACATCAGCGCGCGCGCATTGATTTTCGCCTGATTTTGAAAAAAAAAAAACAAGACATTTTCTTGCCCCCTGACAGTGCCGGTGGCTGTATATATGATGTTCCCATTGAATCAAAACCATTTGTACAATAATTGAAAACTTTCATTTTTCAAAGCCGTTTCAGTGAGACATGGATGCTGTAATAGTTGGCAATAAACGTAGCATAATATAGGTATATTTCTTGTTCAACAAGCTTTATGATGTCAAAATTTGAAGATGTAGGGATCTTTTTTTTTTGGCCCGCCTTCTTTTTTTCGCCCGCTCGCATTAGATTTGGAGTCTGCAGGGGATGTCATCCATAAAATTGACTTGCTGTGGCCTAAAGGTTCGCTGTTGTAAGATTCCTTCTTGCGATACGGCGATAAAAAGGAACTCACGATAACTTTTCTGCCATGACCCCTGTGCACACAGGGAAGTGTTTGGGTAACGGTCTGCTGAGAAAGAACTTTCTCATGGCATAACTTAGAACAAGGCTCCCTGCTTGAAGTGAATCTCGCGATCTTGTAAGAAATCCAAATATCCGGTGGATAACAAAACAAAATGCTGTCTCAAAAAAGGCAACCATAAAAAAAAATTGAACTGATAGTATTAGAGATGTTTAGGTGGCGCGAAGAACAGCATCAAATTGGCCAGGCAGTATCCATTGCCCAGAGTGTATCCATTGTTGGGTGGCTAACGCATACAGTCTGGCCAATGGATACTGCTTGGCCAATATAATTTGTTACTGTCTTTTACGCCACCTAAACATCTGCTCGAAGATTATTAGAGATAGTTTGTCATTGGTTGTCAAAAGTCAGTGTCATCATATTTGTCCCAAATCGCAATTGTTACCTCTTGTCAAAGTCCATTAAAATTAAGGAAAGTTTTGAGTTTAACATTATGATTACTGTTGTCAAAACGTGTTATATCCTTAATTAATCGGGATTACATGTAGCCTCTACCCACGTCGCGAATCGGATCTTCTATTGCCCTGGATCTTCTCTGGCATACTATCCCTTTATTTTGGCCAATTTCTACTATCTTTCCAGCGATCCACGGTGCCTGGTAGAGGCTACATGTACTTCTTGTTCCTTTTGCAATTGTGTCTAACTTTTTTCGTTTTTATCCGTATTTTTTTTTTGCAGGATTTCCGAACTACGACACGACCAGCCTGACCGACGACATCAACTCAAGGAGCTACTCCATGTTCGCCCGTTCCGCGCATGCGTACCGACAGGGCGGTGAGCCGGGCCCTCTGACGTCACCACACCACCTGCAGACCAACATGGCGGACTGCGAGTACGCCCGCAGCACCTACAGCGCATGCGTCAATGTCATGTACTCCGCTTCAATGGCAGCCAGTCTGGATTACTGCGCAGCCGCAAGGTCACCTAAGAAAGAAAACTGCAGGTAAAGAATATATTTCTGTTTTTCTTTCTTTCTTTCTTTCTTTCTTTCTTTCTTTCTTTCTTTCTTTCTTTCTTTCTTTCTTTCTTTCTTTCTTTCTTTCTTTTTTACTTCCTTTCTTTCTATCATCTAGTTTGTAACGGGCCTGCGAGTGAAAGGGGCCCCGTTACAAATCGGATGGCACCTAGTCTTAGAAAAATATGATTAACTTAAGGTTAAGCTTGCAAGAAAGAACTGGCAGAATTTGAGGTCTTTTGCCGTCGTAACATCATACAATATTCAGCATAAAAACGCGTTCGTTTTTTGCAATTAAAATAAACTGTCGATAATTCAACTTTGATCGAATACATATACCAGCATAATTCAAGGACTTAGAGAAAAGAAAGAGCATCTATTCATTTCTCTCCATTCAGATCAACCAAGGGAACAAGGGAGATAAAAAATATTGTGTGATATGAAATACTTCTTATGATATACGTTTGAATTGTATGTTTGCGAAATGTAAAATAAGATTCTCTGATTGGTCCAGCTACCCGGGGTTGCACAGTCCCAGCCTGCCCCGCGGCCTGGAGCAGATCCAGCGCACATGCGCAGTGAGGCTGATGACGGAGGAGAAGCGGCCGTTCGTCTGTCCTTACCCAGCATGCAACAAGCGCTACTTCAAACTGTCTCATCTACAGATGCACAACAGGAAACACACAGGTAGATCTCCATGTTATTAACTATCAATCAATAAATCATTTAATCAAACTTTATTGCATACCAATTATATCTGCATGGTACAGTGTATGGGGAAATGCAACGATGGTAACTACATGTATATTTGACAACAATTGTAGAGGAATATGCTAAACAACGATATGAATTCATTTTCTTGTTCATGTTATTTATGGTGTACTACTAGCTGTTCTTTTATTTATATTCTCCCATCCTTTTACGATCTAGAAGATCGCCAAAAGACTACGTTTCTGCGAAGATCCCAAAACTCACTCATTATGTAGAACGTGGGACTTTTCATTATCCACTAACTTAAGAAGTCAAACCTCATGATAGCAAACGTAGTAGTACTACATAATACGTATTTACGAAAGTTGATCAGACAGTAGTATGCTTTTTCTTCTTTTACTCTATACATGCAATCACTACGGTATCTTTATTGTTGGAAAGACACGTTGCATATACGGGTTGTACTTTTTGATTTTTAATCAGATGAACCGGATTGACATGACGTATGCATATGGAAAACATTAAGATATTATTAGAGATATTAGAAAGAAGTGTAAAATTTAAATGTTCTTACGGCATGTTGTGTTACTGTTATCCCGTGCAGGTGAGAAGCCGTTCCTGTGTGAGTACACGGGCTGTGGCAGGCGTTTCTCCCGGTCTGACCAGCTCAAGAGACACATACGGAAACACACAGGTGCGTCTCCTACATGTCCTACTTGCAGAAAACAGCCGCTAACTACTCTATTTACGAACAGAATCAATTCATAACCCATTTCTCATGCCTGCTTTTGACATTTGTGTACATTATGACACTAAAAAGCAGTTTGGACATTTCAAAGACAGCCCTCACGCATTGCACTTGGTTGCAAGTGAACTATCAAATGTCATGCTACAGTACTCTCTAAGAAGAGGTTCAGGATTAAGCTTATTTTATTAGTCGTGTTTTTAGATGTTTTTATCGTGCTTTCTTTGTTCTGGTATCTATTTTTATGAAAACCAAAAATGCTTTGGGTGGTAAATTAATACTGCCTTGCCAATTTGATACTGTCTTGAAGCCACCAAACCACCGATTTATAGGAAAAGGTAAAATAAAAACTGTGAGGATCTGACCAAATATGTCTTCACATCCCCAGGAGTGAAGCCGTTCTCGTGTGAGACCTGTAGTAGGAAGTTCTCCCGCTCAGACCACCTCAAGACGCACACAAGAACACACACAGGTGAGCAGCAGTAGTAGTACCTAAATTCATATTCCACTAATGTTAGCACAACTAAGCTTGTTTCTGACCTAGGGTGGGACACTTGACAGAACAGAAGGACAGCCAGTAGATTAACTATCTTACACAAAGCCAGACAAAATAAAATTGCCCTACCGGTTGCAACTCAGCTTTCGTCCGCACCGCGCAAATCACGGCACGCAAACCCGAGTTCCTACAAGACACCAGCATTCCACAAGGATTGCTATAGGTATTTGTACTTCCCAAGGACTGTAAGAGACTGGAGCTTCCGCAGGCCCTACCAGAAATACCAGAGGCCAAGTTTAAGGAAGCTGTTTTTCTACACTTGAGCGCTGACTATTTAGAGCGCTGCGACCCCCCCCCCCGTGTACTCTATATGGCATCCAGTAGATTTCTAGCGGGGACCAATCAGAGGGCTGCTGACAGGTCACCGACCACCCCCCCCCTACGTGTTTGACCCCAACCGAGGGGTGTTACGCAGTACAGTATCAAGATCAAGATCATTAGCATTCGGCGGACGTATATATGTTATTGTCACAGTTGATTCATAGCTTGCAAAAAGCATTTTAAACATATATTCAAGTTAGAAGGTTCAACCTGATAGCTTCATCGCCATTGGTCCATTTGCCATCAGTGACGTCATACCGTCTCGACGTAGGAATTCAATGACGTCACTGACATCCTAGGTTTTGGGAAGATAAAAAAATTGTATTATAACGTTATACTCCGATGATGATATATCTATGGCCCTTTTGTATATAAACACAAGGTCTAAATTGCGTAGGTACCATCGTAGGTCTGTATGTAAACGGTCTGAGAAAAATGGACATGTTCACTGAACTATAAATTCACGGTGGCGACAGGTGCAGGAAAAAGAAAGTCCAGGAATTATTTGTTAACTGTTATTATAAGTTCACGGTACAGAAGTGACAGTGAAAACAGTGAACATAACAGTACAGTGAAAAAAAAATCAGGAATTGCAGTAGCTTGTAAGAGCATAAATGTGAAAATAAGCGGGTCTTTCTTTCAGTAGTTTTTTTAAACCTGATGACGATATGTGACTGTGTTGTTCGTGTTTTCAGGGGAGAAGCCGTTCTGTTGCCGGTGGCCCAACTGTCTGAAGCGGTTCGCCCGGTCAGACGAGCTGGTCAGGCACCACAACATGCACCAGAGGAACCTCACCAAACTGCACACGCAGTTCTAACGTGTGTACACGTCACGGTGTGCGCAACGAACAATGACGTCACGCAACGTGCAGAGCACGAATCTCCATGTTTGATCCCATGGAATCACCCGATGGCAGATGGGATGTCTATCTAGGAGTAGTAAAACAAGTTGAATTTAACTTATGACACAAACAGAAGTTCACGGTTAAGTTCTTAGGGTTTTAGATTTCTGTTTTGTTTCCATATGTCCTAATCATCGACAGCACATAATATTTTTGGTTCTGGTGCCCTGAGCATTTGACTGTGTCTGTATATCATAGGCCTAGGAAAATTGAGATTGTGTTTCCTATTACGGTCTTGACAAAAATTAGGGTCGGTAGGTTAGAATTCACTTTTAAAAATTTTGTTTTTCACATTTCAGTTATTGAACAGTGCCCGATAAAAATGTTTTCAGGACAATTTTTGCAATCTATGGGAGTTTTTAGGTGGTTCTGAACAAAAGGGGACTGTGACATGAAATGTAAATACCTGTTTTTTTTGTAAGTCCAGTACCAGTTTCAATTTCAGGGCCTTGAACTGAAGCATTAGTTCAGGTCGAAACTTTTATGTCCCTCGTCGGCGGCCGACCAAATAGGGTCGGTTTTTTTTTTGCCAGGATCTGCGGGGTAACATGAAACACAACTTTCCCCCCTAGGTCTAAGGGAAAAGTCATGTATGTCATTGAGATATAAGAATTTACAATGTTCCGATGATGCCCAACTGTGAAGTGTCCTTACCCGAACTGTTCTGATCCTTGTTTACTGCCTTGGACAGAAATAACTGGTTTCATTCGTGGCCTTTCAGCCTAGTTTTCTGATAGGCTAAAATTAAACTCTAGTTACCAAGCTCGTCTTGTTTAGTGTTCAAGAAGAGATTCTGTAAAACCATATACCGACACAAGTCGGGTTGTACATTTTAGTAAAGGTATGAAATTCGAGTACCTCAACTGCGTTAACGTTACGGTCGATTAGCGTTTTATACGTTGTCGATGTACGTTTTATTTGTTGTGTTAATACTCCATACGTTGTATACCGATCACTTGTTATACTTATTGTATCGATGTTTTGTTCATGTTATAGTGTTAAGTTATGATTACGTTAAAGTAAGACCGAAGAGTATTTCTGATGACTCCACAGAATGTATATATACACAGATTCATACATTTCACATATTGTGTTTTGTTCATGTTATAGCGTTAAGTTATGATTATGTTAAAGTAAGATTGAATATTGTTTCAGATGAATCCACAGAATGTATATATACACAGATTCATACACTTCGCATATTGTGCTAATAACCGACCATGAAGTTTGTGAAGCTTCCATCTGTCCATTCGGATTTGTACAATAAGCACCAACCACTGCGTGGTGATATGAGGAAAATTCTTTCCATACATACCGCGTGCCAACTCCAATTCAGCGGCGAGTCCATTCACGTCGGCGGTGACACCGGGAGGCGGCCGAGGGCTCTTCGGGCCAGCTTTGACGTCCCACCGCCCGGGACGTCCCGCCGGCCCGCCCCACCTGAAATTCCCGCGCACCGCAGCCACATATCAGGTGCCACTGACGAACGCCGCGCTCACCACTTCAAAGCCTTCCTTGCGTTCTCCTGCGGTGAGATAGATTGCCTTGTACTTCACTTTCTCTGGCTCATAAATGGAGTCTTTATGCATACCATATGATTATTTTCATATCAGAATGTTGTGTTTAAACACTTCCACATGTGTAACTGATCCAGGTCAAATCGTTTAATATCGCGTTATTGTCTTCTGTACAGGTGGCTTGGACTCGTATGTAGTTGTCCTTGGTTGTAAGATATGCTAATAAACTGTTTTGTTCTGTTTGACACATGCTTGGTTTGGTTACTGTTTTTACGCATAGTTAGTGATGCAGAAATGATCCGTTGAAATCCTTTGGATAACAAGATCATGTTAGGTACATTTCGATGGGTACTGTTGTCACAAAACCATCTGTTTGGGGTATTTATAATCTGAAGAAAAAGTACAGATGATGACTTTTTTTAGGTGTTTTAACATTTTTGACATGTAAGAATGTCAGTGACGTCCCAAAGTTGTTTTCCCTGAGAAGCCACCTAGACGTGAAAAATGAAAATCTCTTCTAAATTTTTTTCCGGAGAATGAACGAACCAAAGTATGGTGTATGTATGGGTACAGGGTTCTCTAGTTACTACAGGGGGTTACGACGGAAAAGTTACAAAGTGTGTGTTGTAGTAACTTCTAGTAGGCTTGGTAAAGCGGCTGAAAAAAAGTAGAAACTGGCCACAAATATAGGCAGATAACATGGCAGGGGAGTTACGTTGGTCCGCAAAATAGTGCAGGTGTTTGCCGGCAAAATGTAAATGTTCTTAATTTCTACTTTTTTTTTATCCAGAGTGAGTTTATCTAGCCGCTTCCCGAAGCCTGGTAGAGGCTATGCGTCAAGAATTAAAAAGAAATACTTGACGTCAAACGTATATAACGAGTCCTACCGGTATAAGTGTAAGTAAAGGTTGAAATCGCGCATCATTATTTATTAATATCAAAAGTAGATCGGCCACTTCCAAGTACTGTATATCGTCCGGTTAACAGGTCTGTGTGTGTGGCAAGGATTGGAAGAAGAAAAAAAAAAGACTCGACGTCAAACGTATGTGAAGAGAACTACCGGTATAAGTATACGTGAAGGTTGAAATCGCGCATCATTATTTATATTAATATCACAAGTATAGATCGACCACTTTCAAGTACTGTATTTCGTCCGGTTAAGAGGTCTGTGTGTGTGGCAAGGTTAGGAATAAGAAAAAAAGGACACGACGTCAAACATATATAACGGGAACTATAAGTATAACTGAAGGTCGAAATCGTGGATCATTGCGTGTAGATCGACCTCTTTCAAGTATATATCGTCAGGGATAACAGGTCTGTGTGTGTGGTACTGATTTAGAAGAAAAAAAAGACTCGACGTATGAACGTCTATAACGAGAACTATAAGTATAACTGAAGGTTTAAAATGTAAATCATGTAAGAGATTTAGATCAAGGATTGGAACCTCCTTGATGTAAACCGACCATTTCAATATATAATGTTAACATCCAGATAACTTGTCTGTGGGTGTGGCACGGATTTAGAAGAAGAAAATATTCTGTGTCAATCATTTATAACGAGAACTGGAGGTATAACTGATGGTTGAAATCAAGAATAATAAATGTAATAGAATGATATTGAAGATTGAACCTCCTTGTAGATCGACCATTTCCAAGTACTAGTATATTGTCCGGATAACAGGTCTGTGTGTGTGGCACCAATTCAGAAGAAGAAGAAAAGACACTATGTCAGACGTATACAACGAGAACTATAAGTATAACTGAAGGTTGAAATCAAGAATAATACATGTAATAGAATTAAATCGAAGATTGAACCTCCTTGATGTAGATCGACCGTTTCCAAGTATATTGTCTGTGTGTGGCACGGATTTAGAAGAAGAAAAAAAGACAGTATGTCAGACGTATATATAACGAGAACTGTAAGTATAACTGAAGGTTGAAATCAAGAATTATACATGTAACAGAGTTCGATTGAAGATTGAATCGACCATTTCCAAGTATATCGTCCGGATAACAGGTCTGTGTGTGTGGCACGAGTTTAGAAGAAGAAAAAAGACACTATGTCAGACGTATATAACGAGAACTGTAAGTATAACTGAAGGTTGAAATCGCTCATCCCAGGCGGGTCACGAAGATCGCATGATTCAATTTTACCGCGGCGGGGAAGCGGCGACCGGCGGGCCGACGTGTCAGGGTGTCAGGTGCGCCTTCAAAGAGCCCACGGCGGGGGACAATAGACGGGCTCGGCTTACTAAATTGGAAACATTACAAGTGGTCAGTCGAATTTTCACCATGGTTAGCATCTCGAATTGCACACGCAGAGCGATCCGTGACACGCACAGCAGTATATGCATTGGGCCATGTTGATTTGATTATATGGATGACATCCACGCGCGCATGAATTTTCGTCCTTGTCAAAAAANAAAAAAAAAAAAATCGACCATACTGTAAATCGTACAAAACAAGCAATTATACGTCGTATGTTGAAAAAAAAAGGATTGGAAAACTATATCTATGTCGCAGAATGCCAGAATCAATTCTAAAGGACAAGAAGAAAATGTGAGGGAATGAAAATGAAGAGTCTATTGTTCACCATGCCAATAGAATACTAGTATTACTCAATGTGTTAAGTCATTTCTTCAACCTTCATGACCACGTAGATTTCATAATTTTATAACTTTTATTTTTTGCCAAAATTTTTTATTCGCACGCTCGCATCAGTTTTAGGGTTCCCAAGGGATGTCATCCATATAATCAAATCAACATGGCCTAGTAGTCGTACGTGGGCCTGGAACAGGTAAATATCTGCAGTTTGTATGTGAACGCAAGATGGCGTCACATTGTAGCAGAAGACGATTATAAGCTCCCACACACCCGGCCCCGGTGGCAGGTAAGGCCACAGCAAGTAAATTTTATGGATGAGATCCGAGCTCCACAGACTCCAAATCTAATGCGATAGGGCAAAAAAAAAACAAGTCGGGCAAAAAAAAGGGTTCCTACATTTTCAAATTTTGATATCATGAACCTTGTTAAACAAGAAATGGTAGATATACTAGTATCGTGATAAGTTTACTGACGATTATTACAACATCCATGTGTCACTTTTTTCAATCATCGTACAAATAGTTTTGATTTAGTGGGAACATATCAGATATAAAAGGAATTAAATACTGAATCAAAGTAAAATACAAAACAGTAAATTGTCTCCTCTCTTCATATTTATTTGCCATCCAAGTTCTGGCATGGCAACAGACATCTTTGCCTATTTTCGGCATGGTGACCACTGTCAGAAAGCAACAAAATTTCTTGTTTTCCTTTTCCAAAATCAGGCGAAAATTAATGCGCGCGCTGATGTCATCCATAAAAATTACTTGCTGTGGACAAGAAGAAACCTGGGGACCATTCAAATCAAATAAGAGCACTACAAAAGAAACATCTGGAGGAAAATGAACATGTACATAAAGATCTGAATGGCATCGCCAAGGGCAAGTGCGTTTATGCCCTTGCAGTGTGCAACTTGAACCGCTAGGAGCACTATTGTACGGCCCAATCGGCAGTCTATGTGTGTTCCTATATAGTTAGAAGCCATAAAGTTAACACTTTGGTTAGTGTTCGGGGCCTATATTCGGCTTTGTGTGGTCAAGCAGACTGTGAAAGAACCAACTAGCTACAAGAGGATCAACGACAACATTTTTAACGTTAACAAGACAACCGGACCCTTAGTTTACATACTATTTAATAGCCAGGAACAAAACAATTTGAGAAATAGGAACAGAGCCACAGACACAACACAGATCTGCTTGGCGGGTAATGCCTTGTTTATTCTGTAAAAACAGTCACCATTCCCAACTACGTACCGCACAGTTCACGAGTCATGGTCGGTATCAGCAAACTCTCCTCTACCGGTACGGTAGAATCATAACTCGTGTATAACATACGGCTGGCGTTCTAAGTTTGAACATCAAGGCATTTATACAAGGCAGATAACATCATGTACAGGTACAGTACAGGTAATCTCTCGGCACTAGAAGGTTACTACAGACTGGCTGGTCATCAAAATGCCACAACTGACCAATGCATGGCAAGACGGCCCTTATAATTACATTTGATGGAAAGGACTTGTTCACTGACGAGTAGCTCTAGACTACCAGAATTTCATATTGGACACATCTAAAATTCGTTTGTTTCTCTGTCTTAAAAAGCATGTGAGACTTCTAATATATTGCTACCATCGACATGTCTCGTATGAGGCATATTTGTAACAGTTGCTAGAGAAATTAATTCGATGTGAAACAACACGGTGGCCATAGCAAAACTTTAGTCAGACGGCTAGTTGGGCAACACTGCCCCTGTACAGCTGCACGATGGAATAGACCGACCCGACTGTCCATCACAATTAGCAGTTCAACCAATGAGAGAATAGCAATTAACGGTTCGACCAATAAGAAAGTGGCTACATGTCTGTCAAATATCTACCTTTGCATTTTCTTATTTTGCGAATGATCATCACAGTTAGCAGCTCACCCAATGAGAGAATAGCAATTAACGGTTCGACCAATGAGCGAGTGGATACATGTCTGTCAAATATCTGCCTTTTGTATGTTCTTATTTTGCGTTTCTACCATAACAGAGATGGGCGGGTCGCCTGGACAAGAAGTAGAAAAGACAACTGTTCGGGGATACTAAAGGCAACTTTAAGATTTGAAAAGAAGTCAACAAAAGATTCGACAATGTGCATAAAAAGATGCAGAATGCAGTGGATGCTTTCTAGCACTGTTCCTGCAAGTTACAAATGTATTTTGTGGTTGACAATAGACCTATTGCCTTTAGTTGTGGTCGACAAATGCCAATGCTGTCCGGCCCTGAAACACCTTTGTGACTTACGTATACATGCATTTGTGTGTTCTGCTTTGCTTATTTACATACAATGTCAATGTCGTCATTTATGTACAACGTAGGATGTATTTTTGATGGGAGCACACAGATGACAACAACAGAGCGTATTCACTCACGCAAACTTCGTAAGTCACAAAAATGAAGAAGGTACTCAAGAAACAAATGCCATATTGGTGCAATCTTTCAGTTGGTTGTAGCTCAAACGTACATATTTTTGTTTCATAGGGTATGTAGGATTTTAAATACACTTCTGTTACTTTGAGGTTCGGGCACTTAGTTTTAAACTTTTAAGGATGTCTTAAAACTCCAAACTCTTGTTGAAATTCTAAGAGTGTCTAACTCTTGATGCCCGAAAACGCTTGAGCTACCATTCTCTGAAAGGCAAGGGGCGTTCAATTGTACCAATGACAGCACTTGAATATATTTTTTATCAAGTTCATTGTACAGTTTTAAAAGAAGATGAACTTTATCTACATCTTGCAGGCTAGTCTAGGCAGTTTTTCCCCAAGTTACAATTTCGATTGGCATGCAAGGGACTTGAAAAAGAGACGTTGCCAAAGATAGTTTACATAGAGCATGGCTAAACTGTAGTCACACCAGTTTAATTTGTTGGTTCTTTAATCAGTATGTGTTGTAGTGAAAGATCAACCTAAAATCAGAGTACATACATGTACTTCAGTACACTAATTTTCAGGAAGTGAGTTAATGTAGTCAGGGGCAGTTTTTTCCAACTCTGTATACTCCTATGTTATTCTCTTGGATTTTAAAATGCCTGACAGCCAAGGTAATAAATTTGTACCTTGGAATTTTAGCAAAGAATTAACTGGACTAATAATGTAGGCTTTTCATAGTTCGTTACTGGAAACATGTTTTTTTCTGAGGTCCTTAAGAATAAACCTATGTCTACTTGGGAAAAATAAAAATTACCAGAACAACACAGACATTTGTACACTTCTAAATTAGAAACCATGTCTCAGGCTCGACAAGTTTTCACTGATGCTATCCCGTATATTTTACACTCACTGTTTTTTTCTGCTACAAGCTTTCTGATCCCTAATAACCTTGTACATGTACTCTGCACTTACTACAAGACTTACGTGCCTGCATTTTTCTACATGGCTTCATATTATTGTGAATTCAAATTAATTCTCCACTCAGGCCACACCAATTTAATTTCTTGGTTAACGGATTTTTCTTGAAAAATAATGGAGCGGGTGGGTGAAAAAAAAAAAAAACAGGCCTAGGCATCCTATTATGGCCCAAAATGGTACAATAGGAGCAATGAAGTCAACACACCAGGCTGGTTCAAAATTTAAACAATGAATTTTGACGTTTTAATGATACCACTGTTTTGAAAGATGGAATAACTGTAACAAAGAGGAAGAAAAGGACTGTTTTCAACTGTTCAGGGCAAAAATTTTTTTTTTGCAAATCAGAAAAAAAGAAGCGGGCGAATCCGTTAACCAAGAAATTAAATTGGTGTGGCCTCAGTAACACTAAGTATGATTAAGAAATGATTATTTCAGTCCCCCAAATTTTTGGAAAAGATGCCCTAACCTCCTCAAGTATTGTCTGAATAATAGACCACACTTGCACATGATCGCTATTAGTATTACACATGTGAATACTACAGTTTATATTGGCAGAAGCGTACAACAGAAAAACAATCAGTAGCTCTTTAAAACTTAGTTTTTTCTGGGGTCAAATATGCTGCAAATAGCTGCTCTTTTTATCATTGCAATTCACAACCTGATAGTCTAGTAATAATTAATTATTTTTTTAGTATATAATATACACAATAGCTACAGAATCATTGTATGTTATGTAAAATTATACTTATAGTACTTGATGACATAGTAACCAAATGATTAAGTTCATCATGTCTTTTTTCAGTAAAGAATACTGTCATACGCAATGTATAATTAAACTAACTGCTACCAAGTTTGGCTCTTACTGTTTTGCCTATGATGATTTCAAAGCTCATACATGTCGCCAAGTACATGCACTGTAATTTGTTGGCCAGAATTTCTCACAACCTTATACATAATATGTATGTACGTACTATGTGAATAATTGTCGTGTATTTGAATTATTTGTGTACAAATTTCCCTGCTGCCTCCCCAAAACCACTATTTCCTGGGCACAAGTCACAATTTTCTCTATCAGCAATTGATCCTCCTCATCTACAGGAGTCTCTTTTCACATTGTCTACTACTCGGTGCTGGGCTATGTTCATACCATTTAACAAGTGCTTGTCTTTTTCTTTAAAGACATATTTTTTGTAGCCAGCTGTAAGCTGAGAAGTTCTAAGAGATACAGACATCACTTCTTTCTTTGTTACATCGCTAAACTATACATACAAATTCTAAAGCCTATTTTGGCTTCTAGAATTGCCACAGTTATACAATCACTTGAAAGTACTTTTCACAGAGGTTTCCAATGGAATCATCAAAACCCTCTGGCTTTTTGGACACCTCTGAAGCTTTGTAAAAGATTTTTCCACGTGACAACCTTCTCCCTTGTTGAACTTCACATTACAGACAAGTACATTGGTGGAAAAACACAAATGCATAAAAGGTTGCGTTGACACATGCTTAGGCCACACCAATTTAATTTGTTGGTTCTCGGATTTTTTCAGAAAAAATATGAAGCGACAGGGCGAAAAAAAATAAAAATAAAAACAGGTCTAGGCATCCTATTATAGGCTTAAATGCTACAAAATGAGCCATGAAGTCAACACAAAAGGCTGGGTTAAAATCTAAACATTGAATTTTGAACTTTTAATCAAACCACTGCATTGATAGATGGGAAAACTGTAACAACTAGGAAGAAAAGGACTTTCCTCAACTGTTGGGGGGGCAAAACATGAGCATTTTTCAGTTGATTCAGGACCAGAATCAATTTTTTTTTTTGTAAAATCAGAAAAAAACGAAGAGGCGAATCCGAGAACCAACAAATTAAATTGGTGTGGCCTTAGAACTGATAGAAATACTGGTATTATGGGGCAGCATGGCCTAATTTGCATAGCAAAAGTCAAGGAAACAAAGAGGGCCATCACTTTAGACTGTCACGAACACACACTGGCATATATTCACAAGACTACTGATTTAAGGTGACTGTGATCACTATCTCTCTCTCTCTCTTAAACAAATTTTTTCCTTGAATGGAAATTTCAAATTCTTTAAACTACCTCTCCTTTTGATATGGCATAATCTGTCCACTGTACAACCTTTCCTTTCCTCACTCTACCTCGCTGAAAACACTCCACTCTTGAAGTGCTTATATCTTCAAGCTATAGCCATTGGAATTCTCCAAGACATTCCTGGTGGTCTTCCCCTAAGGAGTTTTGAAGGTTTCTTTAAGGAACCTGGAGGGTTTGCGGTCAGAAAAGCTTGAGAAGGAGATCAGCCAGCCTTGTGGTGACAGACGTGCTGCTGGTTCGCAAAGTTAACCGGTACATCTGGAATGGGAAAATAAACAGAAATTGGTCATTTTTGTGCATATTGTAAAACTAGAAAGGTAACATTATTTGCAAATGCATCATGTTTACCTTCACATGGCATAGCCTTACAAACTACTGCTCTGTTTATTACTTGAACACATGCATGCATATACATGTACATGTGTATGGTGACCAGCCCTTCAACTTGCTACATAATGTAATCCAACACCACATGGTCTTCTACAGCGCCTGTTATTGGTGACAGGTGTCTGGTCCAGGTCAATGATATAATTTGTTTGGAAAAGTAGAAGAAGAAACAGCAAAAACAATATTTTCCTTCTGTGAAGGTAAACATAATAATCAATGCACCCTTCCAGAATTTGCTTTGCCAGCCAGTACCATGACAGTATGGACAGTATTCACAGTTCATGTGTAATTTCCATCTAATGGATCTATTATGCAGTTATAACATTGTAGATAACAGAAAAAGGGATGAAGAAGAGACTGACCTGTGCTTGCATGTTGGGCTCTAGTCTGAGCAGACAGCCGACCTGTGAGGACTGTGCCTTGATGATTCCTGCTCCGACAAAGTTGTCTGGGTTCGGATCTACCCCGTCCAGGAGTCCAAACCCAAAGCCAAGAAGCTGGCAAATAGAAAACAAGATTAGTAAATTTGCAAAGCAAATACATGCTCTACTGCTCTATTAATTCTTATTCAATATAATCCAGCCCCCCCCCCC